AGTATATAGAACACTAGTGCGGGTGACAGATCAAGCACTCATCCTTGGCGTGAGAATATTACAAGCATCCATGTCATTACATTCCTCATTTGGTTTGTATTTGGTGGGAGGAGAGGTAAAGGGGAATCTAATTTAGTTCTAGTCAAGACAAAGCTCTTTCTCCTTTCTTCCCCAGGAAAATCCATTGGGACTTCCGAGAAGCCACAGGGCAAGGTTGAAGGTGTGTGGTGTGTTTTAAATCCATCCGTGTTTTGACGGAGCAGGGGGAAAAAATGGGGGGCAATCCATTGCATGCAATTTTATCATTCCAATCTTTTCATGACTCCTCTTGGGTCAGTGATGTCAGCGGAATCTGCTGCGGGTTGCAGTTTGAGGCTGAATAGTAAATAACCCAAATCTTCTGATTTTCTTGCTTAGCCGCGTTGTGGCATAGGTTTACTTCTAGCAAAATGGGGACGGCCTTTTTGTTATTCTCTTGTTCGTTTGCAAGGTGTGAACTCCACCAGGGTGAATCATAGCACTGATTCGTTTGGGTTAGTCCTTCCGTGGGATAAGTTGGGTCCGGTTTCACTTGCTCGAAAAGAGATTTTTGTTTTGCAGCTGATCAAAAAAAGGTGCTTTTTGGACACCATAGCAGGCATAACGCTAATGATTTTCCAGGGCTTTGTAGTATAAATCTATGGCAGCATGAGAGGTTTTGGGTCTCATCATTTCTGCCTGTCAACTTGGAAAAAGTGAATGTTATCAATTAAATTTCAAGTGGCACGTAGTTTTTTTTTTAAAATGTTGCTTGTTATACAGATCTGTGGAGCCATCTGATTGTCTTTACTGGTCTGTTATAGATTAATACAATAGAAGTACAAATATTCAAGTAGACCTACCTGCAGACTTAAACATGACTTTAAAACAAGAAAGAAAAAGTATATAATATTTAATGAAATGTATATTTTATAATGAATAGAAGAGGGCAGCAGAAGAGAAACAATATTAAACTTTGGGTAAAATTAAATAATCAGTAAAATCCCGAGGTTTTAATATACAAGGAAGATCTAAGTGGCACGTAGACTCCAGAAAATCAGTGAGATGCTTTGAACAGGTAAATACCCTTGAAAGCTTAAATCAGATTATGCATAAATAATGTTCTATATTGGTGAGGCCTGTTAGAAAATGTTCATTGGGTTCTGCCTAGCTCAGCTCCCTTTCAAAAGCTTGGGTAGATGATCTGCGTTGTGAGGAAATCTTGAAAAGAAAGGGAAATGCTCACTCTGTAGAGGATGCAGTAATGAAGAACAGAAAATGCTTCTATGTTCTTATTCCAACTGTAGCAATAAGATTTAGAAGGTGGTTGGACAAGATGCCTACAGCCTTTTCCAATCTGGTGATTTGACAGTCAGTCGAAGCAACGTTAGATTGTAGACTCATGAGACAGAGAAGAAGCCCAGTCTTTGGCTATTTAGTTTCTTAAACATGAATATTTATATGAATTACTTCTAAATTTACATGGGGGTGCGGGGGGGGGGAACCTTCCTTTAACGTAAAATGGCTGGGTATGTACATTATGATAGGCAGTGATTCATTTTGTTTGGGTTTGTGTAAATCCAATCGTGGTTTCTAAATCATTGTTTAGTTTATTGGGGTAATTTATCCAGTGATGAGTTATTTGCCCAGCCAGTTGTTGTTTGTTCAGTAAACCATGATTAGATGAACAATGGCTGGCTATACCTTGGAACCACATCCATGCATCTAGTAGAGAACATTAATTCAGTTTAGTTGCTAACATGCTAGGTTAATAAAGTTATTTAATGAATTTGACCCATGTTCATTTGCTGCCCTCCCAAAAATCAATGCAGGTTCTTTTTGCTTTTGAGAAGAAACCAATTTATTACGTCTATCTCATCTGGAGACTTGGAGTTATTTTGAGTTATCTCAGTGGTTTAATAAGCACAAAATGACCTTAGCTTGCACCAAGGGTGACCGGGCAGAAAACAACATGTCTGCTCTCTGAAAATATAAAAGCTGGTGCTTCTTATGGTTAGCTCCTGGGCCAAGCAGTTTCTAGGCCAGCCAGCTGGTAATCTTATAAAACGGTGCATGAGTGCATCACTGAAACTAGTTAGAGTAACTTGTGCCTTACCGAAGTAGATGGCCCACAGAATTTGGATTTGCCCGCTAAGGCTAAGCTCTGGATTTGTACACCAAGGCTAAGATCTCACCTTGAGGATTATAAAAGGTGCATCTCAAATACCAGATTTTATTTTGATGACCCCAAAATGAATACATTCCCTGATGATCCAGGGCAAGAGGACACAAAGGGTTGGTTTAAAACATCCACGGAGAGAAAGAACTGGCAAACTGACAGCTGTTATTACTTGTCTAATAAGGACCTTTAAAAGCGCATGGCCTTTTCTGCAGTCCCTTAACTCTTTTAGTTGCTCATTACCCAGTAGCTGATAACCTTAAATTCCTGCATTATGGCTCTAAGGATTGTAATTATGCACTATGATGAATCCGCTGTTTGCCAGGCGAGTGTGTGGGAGTTTTCTGTATTTTTTCCTTCATCTTTCCAAGTTCAGAGCGTACTGACAAAGATGTTCCTCAAACGGCTTTGTTTCTCTTACCAGGCTGGTGGCACCATTAAACATTTTTGGGGGAGGCTAAAACATAGTATGGGGAAGGTTATAGCTTCCCTTTTAAAAAAAAGAAAAGAAGATCAACTCTGTTTTTGCCATTGTTTAGCTTCTCTGAAGATTTTACCGTGCAGCAAAATACAGAGCGCTCAATCATGAAGATGTGAGGAGCTGAACATTTGATAGCTGATTTTTTTGATCTTGTGGTGTGTTTATTTTTTTACTGGAGTAAAGTTTTGCCTGCTACTTGGGATTTTTGTGTTAGAAGGAGCAGAGCAGGGAGTGGGAAAGAAAGAAGGAAGATGTTCCAAAGTTCTTTTTAGAAAAACCCACCTCCTTCATGTCTTTGACAGGAATAATGCTTGTAGTGAATATCGGGACTGCTCCTTTTCCCGGTTGACCATTCCGTTTATGCATCCAACGTGGTGCCTAAAAACTAAAGTGGCTTGCAAAATCAGCTTTGTGATGAACAAAGCTGTTGTGGCACAGACTTTCTCGGAGCAAAGTTCCCTGCCAAAATATGTACTCAGATAGAAATAAGCTGCGGTTGTGGAGAAAATGAGCCATTCTGGTATGCCGTATTATAGCTGGTGTGATTTTGGCTTTGTTGGCGCGAACGCTGTTGTGATTTGGCGAATGGGAGGAGGTTGAGAATCCTTGGAGGAAAGGGAAGATAGAAATGTGGTAAAGACACTAACCAGGAAGCTCATGAGTTCAAGAGGTAAAAGGCACAACTGGAAACTCAGGATTAACGTAATGGGTTAATCCTGTATGGGTGTTGTCCCTTCCAGAATGATATTGGCTGGAAAAGAAGATGAAGAGCATTCTTCAACTAGGGTAGTCCTTTTCTGTATAGAGCGAGCTCCTTCCAGCCTCATTTAACTTAAACCTCATAGCCACAAATCTGCAGATGGGTGCAGTGTGGTCACTGGATGAAAAGCCAGGCCGAAGATGGAATTGGAGTCCTGCGAGGAGATATGGTCTACACCCCAGCCTTTCTCAACCTGTGGCCTTTCAGATGTATTGGGGCTACGGCTGGCCCAATTCCCACGTTGTTCTCCAGCCTCCAGATCTTTGCAGATTGCCAGGTTCATCTGAAATGTTCAGTCTCAAATAATAAACACTTGGCTGTCTTCCTCTATAGGGGTGGTGAGCAAGTCTCTCAAACTTCCTTAGGTTGTAGACTGCAAAGGTAAGATTCAGTTACAACACTTAGCCTAACCCTAACATTACTGGGGGGGGGGAATCCAGGTTAAACCTGTTTGAAATTGCCTTGTTCTTCCTGGCTGTTAGTCTATATTAGCAGACAGCTTTGTTGTTCAGTAATAGGCAGATGTTTTATGTTTCTAAATCCATGGTAGAGGTTTTTTTCTTTTAATGGCTTTAACCTGAATCCAGCCTGTATCTCTGTGGGTTGTGTAAAGGTGATCCCTTGTTGGTCCTATCAATTCCTTGTATTTCAGGAACATTTAATGTCCCACAATGATCCCTTTTCTGTCGATTGTGCGTGGATCCATTATTTCAGGACAATGCTTTTAAAAATAAACCTTGTGGGATGTCAGTCCATTTCACATAAAGACCTCTTTATTTTTAGCAGGCGGCATTTGCAAAACGAGTGGGAACGTCTCTTTATACGGGACGGGGCAATTGAAAAATGGCACAGAGGTGATATGATAATATGCATTTGAATCTGTTGTGTTTCGCGTTCTTATCTTAAACCTACTCTTTCTGCTCACAAAGAACTATAAATCCACGTTGTCATAGAAACGGCAAAAACCAACTGAAGCGTTAAAATTTCTACACACACATGGACATACTTGCATATGCACGGTCTAGATTAAAAAAAAAAAAAGGCTTACATTTTCTCCCCCCTTGCTCGGGAATCGTCCTCCAGATGTAGCCGAGCCTTGTCCTTCCCATCGCATGTTTCCCCCAGTTGCTCTCAACTGGTATGAAAGCACATTGGGTGGGCTTCATTATGTCTTCCTCCCTTCACTTTTGAGGAATGGCAAGTCTCCGGGCTTGGATACGTTCTGTTTTTCAGCATCTCTTGAGGGCACCGTTGTGTGTTTTGGTAAACAACGTGGAGTTTTGTGTGTGTGTGTTTTTTTTAATTTTGTTTGGAAACATCCTGCTGCTTTAAAAATAAATCAGGGCTGAGTGCTGCAAAACAGCAGGAGCTTGAGGATCAGCCAACCTTCTGGTGTGCGTGCCGTTTTATCTTTGGAACACCTCCTGGTGCATCCTTCTCCTCCTTCTCCTCTTCCTCCTCCTCCTCCTTCTCCTCCTTCCTTCCAGTTTACTTCCTCTTTTCTTTCTCTGGCTTGTAATGCAACAGCTGGGCCTCTGGAGGCGTAATGAGAAAGCTGACGGAGCATGCTCTTAATCACCTACTGTGGGCTTAAACTCGTGGAGAGAGTAGGCCAGGCCTCTCTGAAGCCTTGCATGAAAATCCCCAAGGCCAGCGCAGATAGGCTTCGGAGGTATGATCACTTCCAAGTTTTCTTTACAACGTTTCTTACAGCGGCAGTTCCTGTCCCAAGTGCTTTTTCCAGAAGACACGTTGGGGAGAAATGGCTTGATCAACCAAAATAGCAGAGCAGAGTCTCTCTCTCTCTTTCTCTCTCTTCTCTCTCTCTCTCTCTCTCTCTGTTCGATCCTTTTTTCTATTCTTCTGGAGCCAGAGTGGAAGGGCATCCTGGATTTACCCCAAAGGAAGCAATCCATCTTTGCATGTTTTAGTTCGAAATGCTAAAAATGCTGTGCTGACTGAGCTCTGAATGAGCACATATGTGGTTGCAGCGAGAGCTTTCTGATTCTCTTCCACCATCTTTCTCCCTTCCCTTCCATGAAATGGTTGCAACCTTTCTTTTTGATGCAAGAATTATTGCAGGAAACCTACGGGGGCCCTGGAGAAGATGGGTAAAATAATATAAAAAGAGAGGAGGTGGTCCTTGTGGTATCTGTGTCTTCAGTTTTTTTTCCCCCCCTCCAGAATGGGAGGATTAGGGATGTGAAGATTGGGTGGGGTAGGAGATGAACCAAAGGGATTGCAGGAAAACAGAAAATCAGCTTTCTTTTTTTAACTGAATCCTTTTTTCCCAGTTATTTCCTGGAAAATGGGAAGTTTGTGGAAAGTTAGAAGAAAAGGTCCTCTGTGTCAGTTTCAGTTCTCTTTTAAGCAGTCATGAGTAAAATGCTTTAAAGGTTTTTCAAAAATGGCTTCTGTTCACCATGTAAGGTTATCAGTAGGAGAGATTATCAGATATATTTTGGAGCTGTAGCATTCTAGTAATTTTTAAGCCATGAGTCGAAATTGGTTTCTTCTCCAAAAAAGGAAACTGGGGAGAAAATTAAAATATGTGCAATGCTTAATCTCGTCTATGCAGTGTTGATTTTCCAACTCAAATGCAAAATGTGTGATGTATAATTCAGCATATAGAATCATATTTTGTACGGTTACTAATTTAAAAAGTATAGCTGTTTTAGTCAGACAATATCTATTGATATAACCAGTGTTATGGGTGGGCCAGCAAGCTGCTTTTAAAACAATGAATGCATCTTGGTTTCATGTTGGTTTCCTGATTCACTCTTGATGCTGATAATCACAGTTTGCTGGTCTGGATGAAAATGGAAACTGTAGTTAATTAAAGAATTTCTGCTTTGATGGCACGCAAAGTGGGAAAAGGGGGGTTCTGTGGAGGCCTGATTTGAATCAGATAATTATTTCAAGTTGCCTTAAAAACATAATACATATTTCTAATTTGATTACAGAAGGGATATTGCTTCTTAGGTAAATAATAAACATGATTTTTCTTACTACAATGCCCTCCTTATTCCTTGAACTGTCAAACACCGAACAGTTACTAAGGCATGTATATTTTTACATTTTTAGGAATACAAATAACAGTCCATTTTGGTGTGCTTCCAAGTTGTAGACAGCATGTTTCAGCTGCACCTAGAATGGATTAAAAATAAAGGTCATTTTAGGTGTGGCATATTCTCACACTCTTCCCACCATTTCTAGAAGTGTTCCACCTGTGTCCAGTTTTTGTTTTAGATGTAAGAGTGCCTGCTTTGCTCTTAATTTCTAGTTGCATTTATAAAGAGCAATATCCCTTGACTCTTGGGTCCGACAAGTGTTAAGTGTGACTGGTTAGAGAGCACCCTTCTCTTAATTGGGCCTTTCCAGATAGACTTGGTCTAAAAAATCATATCCATCAGCCACGTATGTATATGTTGACTGAAGAGAACAAACTTGTGTTCCAGACCCTCAGTGTAGGGGAGATTTGCCATAGAACAACTTAGCAGCCCATCTGGAAGTTCACAGCTGATTTAAAATGGAGGCTGTTCTAGCTTTGTAGGCACAATCGTTATCTCTTTCTGAGCCATTGGAAGGATTCTTCTCAATTTTTTTTCCCCCTACGACATCCAAATCAAATCAAAAGCAATTTCAGAAATGTACCTGGGGTGGTCTTGCATATTAATAGATCGAAGTGTTAGCCCTGGAAGAATGTGGCTGCGGCTTTTTATTTTCGTAAAGCTCCTTGAGTTCTGCTCTGTTTGGGTATCACACACAGAAGTCCCAGCAACAAAGTAGAGTGACCCCATACAGGGAAAAGAATACTTCACAGCATGCAAGAGTACAAATGTAGCACTTGGTCTACAACCAAATTAATCTTTTTCCAGGACTGCGCTGCAGTAGGCAGCTGCTTGATACCATGAAGAGACATAGCCGCTTTAATGAGTATTACCAAGCTGGTGTTGCATTTATGAACTCTGGTGTTCCAAAGAACCTTTCCCCTTTCAAACCAAAGCACTACATAGCCCTATTAAAATCTATTCTTATAAGAACGGGATGAATGAACATCTAGTATATGACATACCGTAGGAATAAATGTGATCCAACTCTTTGCCTAAAGCAAGATATTTTGTACTATGAGGCTAGAACCAGTTCTAAATCCTAAACTTATAAAATCCAGATCACAAGATTCTGCAACTGGAAACAAGATTGGGAGGAACTGTGGTTGATGAAAAAAGGATGTTATTTGTATGCAGAAACGTTCTGTGTTCAGTTAACAGCAAGTCCAGCAGAAAGAGCCAGGTTATAAGTGATGATGTTGGGAGAGGTTATCTCTGCTTGGAATAGCTACTAACCAGAGCAGAAATATTGGATTAGATGGACAAGTGGGCTGAAGTTCACATCTCTCATGAAAAACGAGAGGAAGTAGATGAATTTGTATGCCCAGTAGAATGTTTACTAAAGATGGGAAAATGAATGGAGAAATCTTGATGAGCGAATGTTGGGAGATGGGCAAGGGGTAGTATATTGTTCATTGTGAGAAGCAAAAATGATGGTGTATAAGAGTGTGTTTTTGGAAATGGGAGTTGGGTGGGTCAGGAGAAATACAAAACTGTTGGAAATGTGTGGGTAAAACAAGAAGGGTCAAGAATGTATGGTTGTGGAATAAATGTAGGTTAGAAGTGGGAATTGGGATCCCAGAGGGAATCACGAACCAGATATATGAAGGAAAAGTGAATGGGTTGAGAGGTAGGGGAAGAACAATACAATTATGGTTGGGTGGAGTTCATGAGACCCTCAGAAAGAGTGAGTCAGAAGCTTAAAAAACAAAATGTATGAAGCTGTGTATAGATGTGATAGAAGCAAGAACAGAAAGGCAGGGGGAAGTATAGTGAACGGTGTTGATGTTAACTAGATTTAGCTCTGTTTTCCTTTTCCTTACCTCAAGCCTTTTTGAGATTTAGCATTCCTTACTGCTTTTGCCCTTAGCAAAACGTGGTTGTTACGATAATTGAGTCAACCCTGGCTCCTACTGACTGCAAGAACAAGACCATCCAGTTTTCTTGGAAACATTTTTGATTTGCCAGTACCTTCTTCTTGGGATTGATAGAAAGTGACTGGCCGGCCGTCACTTAGGAGCTTCTGTTGCTGAGTGGGGGACTGGAACCTCCCTGCTCTTAGTCCACCATCTTCACCACTACACCACACTGGTTCTTACACTAAGAGAGAAGGGCTGGCCCAGAGTCATCCAGCTGGCTTTGGTATCTAAAGCAAGAGTAACACTCAGGGTCTCCCAGCTTCTAATCCAGCACCTTCAATCACTGCACCAAACTGTAGTGTGGTGTAACATTACGCACCCTGAAAGAGAAGAACCTGATTGATACGTACGCATATCTACCTTTCTCTTCTGTGCTTCAGAGGAAATGGAGTCAGATGATTGAATCATTTTACAGAGGAAGAACAAAAATTTTTAAATCTGTTTCCCCCCCCCCCCCCCGCAAATAATGATGCCAGCCTTGGATGCTTGGGGAGCAGAGTTGCCTAGCTTCTTAGATTAGCTTTATTTTGGTAGGGTTTAAACTGAATAATGCAAGAAGCATTACTGGAACGGCATTTGAACAGCTCATATGGTCTGGGTTTTATTGTCTTGGATGAATATCTTCCATATCTGTATCTAATCTTGTTTTAGTCCAGTGTGCTAGTGCCCAGCATCATATAGTATGAATCACCTGCATATTTGGCACGTGTCTGTTGAGTATTTATTTTAGTCTTTCTACCATCTCCCCTCCTGGAAAACTGTAGCATGGAGAGGGGAGTTGGTTTTACATGGCTGTTGAGATCATGGCCTAGATCTAGATTGGGCCAGAATTTTTTCTCACCTTCAAAGAGCAGAACCATTCCCCCCTCTCCTTGCAAATAGCATCCCTACTCTTTGGGTGCTTGAAATTGAGGTGGGTTTTTTGGGGTGGATGGGTATGAACTTTGTGAAATGCATAGGAAGCTTGGAATCTCCAGCACTGCACCAAAGACACTGAAGTTTTTCTTCCTCTTCTTAAATCTTTCTCCTAATTGAATCAAGAGAGTTTGTATCTGAAGGTACCTGGGGGAAAAGACAAAACATGTTGAGCTCTTTATTCTGTATTTATCAGAAAGGTATGCTTTCTGCATCTCAGAGAAAAGGAATCCTAGTTTCTGAAATCACCACAGTAACTCCCAGGTCATCTTTTGGGAGTCAAGGCAGTTTGTAACACAACAATTTGTACTTAGAGGACTGGAGGTGGATTTTGTCTTCCTGGATGATTTGATGATGTAAAAGGATCCTCTGATGCACATGGTTGACTTCAAAATAGTTAAGAGCCATTGTCTTCCAAAGCTAAGTCATTGTTCCTTGTGGTTTGTTTTGCTGGGGAACATGCCATCTCTTGTTCTTTTGTGTGATTCAGTCCAATCAGAGGAGAAGAAGTGGGACCAATTGGATCATTAGAAAGGCCAAGCAGAGAGCAGCTTGATTGATTGATTGCAGCCAGATGGTAGCTTTCATCCAGAAGCTTATGGGGTTGTACATAATCCCCTCTGATTTTTTTCATCATAGATAATAAGATGGACTATTTAAATAAGCCATAGTTGGCTGAGCTCACACATGCTAACCCATAAATAATGTCTTACAGACCAAAGGGGCTG